TTTGAAGTTCAAAATACAATCGTAAATAAATTTAACACTCATTCAAATTTCCTATAAAAACTACTTCATTTCTGTTTATGAAAAAAACATTTTTCAATTGATTTGTAGAATTTTGTTTATATTTCTAAATTGAGAATAAAATTAACTTGTTTGTTTTTTCTAAATTATCGTGCATCTATATTTTTTCATAAAAAAATTTAATTGAAAAAAATCTGTATTAGAAAATTGAAAAATTATTTAAAGTTAACGCAACATGGTTCCCTCGTTATTTTTATTCAATTTATTGCATATTTTTTGTGTTAGTATTTGCCTTATAGATGCTTTAACTGAAATTCATAGCAATCTTTTGTATCCTGCCAAATAAAATGATAATCTCAATTTAAATGCAAATGGAAAATGTCCTTAATTCTGCTGAAATGCATTTTCTTATTGTGTTGGGTTTCATTACGTTTGCTTGTCTGGCCAACTGCCTACTGCCTACTGCAGATTGCAACTAAGCAAAATGCTTTCATCAAATGCAACATGAAAAGCAAAGGATTTACTTCAAAGCAATGAATACAAATTGTGCTCTTTACAAAAAAGAAAAAAAATTTAATTCGCTGAGTAAATGCATGCATTAAAAATATAAAAAATCCTTCAGAAATATAAGCCAAGCCACATGAATGCATTACAATTCATTAGTTGTAAGTGATTTTGGGAAAAGAAAAATTTGGCTTAAGAAAACACAGCACCTCTACTTTTATTTCTTTATACCTGTCTAATAATAATAGCTCGTCCTTTATGGAGTTATCTATAGACTTATGTATATATTCATATAACAAATTGTTGGTGTGCTTTATCAGGTATATATTCTTCGTTATATGCAAAGTCAAACCAAACTCATAACATTTGGTTAGAGCGTTTTGGACCGGTACAGAACTTGTGTTCAACCATATCTGTTTCCTACGTACCATCGCCAGGGTTCCGTACGAAATGGGATAAATATTCTCTCAATTCCACCAAAGTCACGACCTTTGCGTCTTATATCTTCTACCACCATTTAGAAAACCTATTTTGCTTGTGCATCATCTGCCAGACTTACGAGTTGAACATAACAAAGTCATCGATGTCGCTACAAGTGAATGTCAATATAGTGGTTGTCATGTACACGTACAAATCTATAGATCTTGCGAATTACTTTTTTTTTCAAAAAACAAAGTCTATTAAGGTCTATTTTTATTAAAACATCCTTGTTTTTGCGTTTAATATAAATATAGAATAAGTACCCTATAGATAGAGTTAACATTTTTCAATCAAGCGAAAGTATCTATACTGATCTATACGTTAGTTATTATCCATATGTAGAGGTCTACGTATCTTCCGAGAAATTTTTCTTCATAACACTTTAGGGTTTTTTTATTCTGCGTTTACGTTCACTTTTCTGCTTCACATTGAAGCACAGGTTAAACAAGTGACCTATGGAGTGTAAGTTTTGTTAGTCCAGAATGAGAGCTCTTTATATTATTTTCGTAGTTATTTGCAACAGTTAAATTTTTGCTGATCTTTTAAATAAATCAATGCCATCAATTTAAGATAAAAGAATTTATCTGTCTTTATTCTCCTTAATCACCATTTCTTTATTGATTACGCATCGCTTCCTATGTCTAATAATGTCGGAGTTGATATATATATCATGTGAATGATTTATAGATAGATAGAACTGAATTTTTTTATTTACTTAATTCGCCTTTGCAAAAGTACATATATCTGTCTCTCCTAATCACTTCGACTGTACGTATCGCGAGTTATATAGTACCTCTGATCTTTCTAGCTTAAGGGAGTACTCGCATTTTCATTATTCATGAATTTATATATTATTCCAATTTATATGGATACTATATGGATATAGTTATTAACAATTCTCACAGTATGTCTGAATCAGCGTGACTAATGGATTTTTATTAGATTAACTATATTAATGTCGTAGTGCAGTTCATACAGCTGGCTGTTTCATCTAGAATGATAGTTCCTTTTAATAAAGGTGGGGCTTAAGATTTTGTGGAGATTTTTTCTATTCAGAATTATTAATAAGAAGCCACTTTATTAATAAGCGTGATTGTTCGTTTGCTTTCCAGAATGAAGGTATTGGTGGTGTCAATACCAGTTTCTAGGTAAATATCCATTGTGTGGTTATAGACAGGAACGTATGGTGTAAAATGCAAGAACGGAGTGTTTAATGCCGTGTGATAAAAGGTACTTTGTTTTGTCCTTAAAAACTCACTCATTTAGTTTGAAGAACGCAGTACATATGGATTGATTGTTATACCTGTCGACATATCATAAAAGTACTTTAGGTGTTTCTAAATCTATCAGTTAGTTTTCTTTGAAGACTTTTTAGTAAAAAGTAGTTATATTTAATGAAAACTCTTTTTGGTTCGAGAAAATCAAAATTGCGCAAGCTTTAGCTTCGGGGTAATTATAGCGAATAGTGAATAGCTGGTCAGATAATTGAAGTCGTAATTCTTTTACTAATTTTACTGTGATGTTATGTGACGTTATATTATGATAATGTAATTATATGGAAAATGTTTTGCTGTGCAAATATCAAGACTAAGTTCTTATGTGATTAACGCATAAGGATAATGCTAAATGAGTTTGTTTTTCAGCCTTCCATACTAAAAAAAACATTAATGTTTTAGTGTTCATCACTTTCATTTCGCTGGATTCATTGTCATCCATTGTTGCGTCAGCCGCTTTGTGTGTTATTTGCACCATTCATGCGCAAACATTTTTAATTACAAAAATGTAGATAGTTTCCAAAGTGTTCATTTTTCCGCCTTTCACATCATCTCATAGAGAGAGAAATGTGTACCGCACCGCTTTAAAGGCATTGCGAGTATTAATATTTATAACAGCAGTAGAACATCATCCCATTTGTTGCTATCATCACAATAACATCACGCCAACAGTGACTGCAAAGGCGCTGATAAAATTGAACTACTTTTGAATGAAATATTTCGTTGACAGAATTTAATCGAAACATTTGTGTAATTTATAGTCATTGTAGAAAAACTGTATTCAAAACTTTAACATTGTAACTATACGAGTATCACAATGAGATCTGACATTGATAAGTTGTTTCGAAATTGAATTTTGCAAAGCTCTTAAAAACACCAGGAATGAGAAATACAAAACCACTCACAGATATATTTTTCTTAATTTACTATACGCTGTTTAATATATGTATATGTTTGTATATCCCTGACTTAATATATAACATATCATTGTGTTTCCCAGGCATAAATTAAACTATTCCGCCATAGTAAAATATTTAATAGAAAGACGAGTATGTGTGTTGTGACCCTAGGTGTTGTTACCACTATATCTATACTCGACCTGGAATGTCGTGCATTTTTGAGTAAAATATCGGTAAATCTGAAATGAATATCGGTTCATAGGGGATATTTCTGGTATCTGTATAACCGAAAAATTAGTTAAAAGTGACCACTGAATATTATAAATCTTAAAAAGCGTACAATCGATGTACGGATATGGTACTTAATGAGTACGCTGTTATATAAAACTATAGCTATAGCTACTAAATGCCTTAAGTAAAACCAAGGCATTTAGACAGTTGATCATCGTACCCAAACGTAAACGAAGAATATAAAATGTAAAATATTTGCGTTTACCACGAAATGTATATATTCTCTAAGGATCTTTTTCCAAACTTGTGATCACCTAAATTTAGAAAGAAATTTAGTGTACGATTCACAATGAAACTAAGTACCCAGGCAGTTGACCATTGTATCCGAACCTAAAAGAACAATTAAATTGCTACTCTAACTCGAATTTCGTAATTGTCTTAATAAATCCAACAAGAGGAAGTAGAGAGAGAGGGTGAGCGCGTGAACGTCATTTATGCTTAAGGTATTATAGCCCAATAATTTCAATTTAGTTTTTGTGAATGCTCTAAAATAACAGTTGAAATGCTTTGTATTATCCACATCCTCATGACATGATTTACATGTTGGATGTGTGATCATGCTTTAACTGGATATGTGATGTCTACCTATGTTGTGACTTATGATGACTTTGATCAGAACTCTGAGATCCTTTATCTTTAATTGCAAAAAAAGATGTCGCTAGTCCACTGTCACGTTGTTTTCAAAAGTGTTTTTTTATTATTATTTTATAAGTTTCTATTTCGGACTAATTTCTTTTGACCGAAGGAAAAATTCTACAGAAATAACTTTGTAAATTTGTTCTAAACGAATAGGTGTCATAGCAGAGGTTTTATTGGCTAATTTAATAGTCAAATTGAAATTAAACTGATTACTCTTGCTCGTTCCTCTTATCGAATATAGTTGTAGTAACTATAAGACACTGTTTATCGAGCGATAAGGATTATATTTAACGGTTTCACGATTATTGTCAGTTTGGATCAGAGCAGGAGAGGGAAGAGGGGGATATTACTCATTTGCGGAAGACGTTTTGTTAGTAGGCGTTTATGCACTCTGTGAATATTCTTTCAAACGCCTCGTCAAGATCATTCGTGTAGGTTTTAAAAACCTTTCCCGTTTCAGTGTCCAGTGTTACTTAGCACAGCTAGCGTGCCTTAAAACTGTGGTAACCAGTGTCTTCTCTGGAAACTCCTCGTCTTAGAAGAGTTTCTGTTGGTATCTACTATCAAGGTTATAAAAGAAATGCTTATATTGAGATATTGTAATGATATACAGAATATTTATCAAAACTCTTATTTGCAGATATTAGTTAGTAACACAGTAGTAGAAGTTAATGGATAAGGTTTTGTTGAAATTACTCTTATGGGGTGTAGGCGGTTAGTTTTATGAATAGTAACTAGACTTGACAAGCTATACTAACATAGCCACATCCTACTTTCTGCATGTTGAGCATCATGAAATTGCAATTCGCTCTCAACAGGCCCTAACAATTACAATTTATTTTATATATTATTTTATTTATTTATATATTATTTTATATATTTTCACACGTAGTAAATTACTAAACATTATTTTGCACACCTCAATGTTGTATATAATAGTAGCATAGTTTTTATCATCTCTTCTCGGGTACTAACATTATTTTACAGAATTGATGATATTGAAGACAATTCAATACTTCGCAGAGGCGTTCCTGTAGCACATTCGATATATGGAGTTGCCAGCACAATAAACGCAGCAAATTATGTACTATTTCTAACATTGGAAAAAATACAGCAACTAGGACATCCTGAAGTAAGTTATTATGGCTTTTTAAGTTATTATATTTTGATTTATCTAATATATTAATATTTAATTTTATTTACAGGCAAATCAAGTTTACACTGAACAGTTGTTAGAGTTACATCGTGGTCAGGGCATGGAAATATATTGGCGGGATAGCTTTATTTGTCCATCGGAATCTGACTATAAGTTGATGACTGTACGTAAGACGGGCGGTTTATTTATGTTGGCAATTCGTTTAATGCAATTGTTCAGTGATAATAAAGAAGATTTTACAAAGTTAACAGCAATATTGGGTTTATACTTCCAAATACGTGATGATTATTGTAATCTAATCTCCAAAGAAGTAAGCAATTATTAAATTCATATTATGTGTTAAAGAATATATCCATTAATTTAAAATGTTTTATAGTACAGTGAAAACAAAAGTTTTGCTGAAGATTTGACAGAGGGTAAATTTGGTTTTCCAGTAATACATGCCGTGAGATCGCAAAAACGTGACAAACAAGTTCTGCGTAAGCCTTTAAATATCTTTTGTTCAATACAATGACATGATGGGTCAAAATTTGTACTTCTTGAATTTTTTATGGAAATGCATCTGTCTGTAGTTTTCTCTTAAAAGTCAGAATGCAATATTTATAATTTGACTAAATTTCTACTGCAATAAATTGAAATCAAGACAAGACCATGCAATTTTCCGAAAAATTAGGAACATTGAGTTACGATGTTATTGTATTAAATAATCGATACTTTTTTTTTATATTACCTATTTTAATAAACATTTTATTTACAGATATACTACGGCAGCGGACACATGATGTTGAGGTTAAAAAGTATTGCATTAGTTTGCTTGAAAAACTTGGAAGCTTTAAATATACACGTGAGGTACTGGCATCTTTAGATAAAGAAGCCAAAGCGGAAGTAAGTTTAAATAAGATTAAGATTAAGACGCTTTTAATTAAGAGGTATTTTGAACAGATTTAATGTTATTAAATTAATGTTATTATATATTTTTCTCATTGTGCCTACACTGAATTTTTTAACATTGGAAATGTTTTAGTTGTCGTTGCCCACATACATTTTTAGTGGAGTTATTTTTTTGAATTTTTGGTCCAATCAACTGACAATTTGCTCTTTGCTTATTTCAATGTATAAGCACTAATTTCATATGAATTCAATTTATTAAGACAGATACAGATCAGATACATAATTTAACAGATTTTGGCTATAAAAATAACAAAGGATTCAAAGTTTTTATTTAAGTACAGTTTTATGAATAATGATAGATAGCTAAATATCATCAAATATTAATACCTCGTGACTCTCTGGTAATCATGAAGTTTGAAATATTTTTATTAGTATATACTCTGAAAGTAAGTGTAATTCCAATTTTGATTAGGAGTTACAGTTTTATCATACTAGTTTAAGATTGAATATTGGATATATAAGTATATCCCCATTACATTTATATTATATTAGTTTATAGTTTAATATTATATCAGTATATTAGAGTATATTAGCAAAATTTATTAAGATTTACGTATCTATCTTACTAGTTTCGGTTTAGGTTTAGACTACATTGAGAATAATATTTTTTTTTGATAAGTGATAGCTAATAATCGTCAAATAATAATAACTAGTGGCCAGTTGCTAGTTGGTGACCATGAATATGAAGTTTCTTGTTCTTTTCATTTCTATCTAGTTTCGAACGAATCCCATGCATTTCTTTTATCTTGTTGCAAATTTCAATTTCTTATGATCATTCTCGTTTCTTCACAGCACTTCATATGATCTTTAATATATTTCATCTATTTTACAGCACTGTTTCTTTATATGATTTATCTTACTTATACTTACTTACACTTTCTATTTTGTTTTGTCATGTTGAATTCAGTCTAGATTTAGCCACATCTAGCATATTCTTCTTGCATCAGCTGGAATAATGTATTCCTTTGCATTATAATAGTTAAGTCTGATGGCATAGTCCATAAAACTCTAAAAAGATTTTTTTCAAGTATTTCGAATCGCGTGGTCTTAAATTAAAAAGGTAAAATTAAGCCCATAGTATTTGATTTATAAATAGTCTAGAATTGTTTTAGTTGGGCATTTAGTTACACAATAGATCACAATAGATAGAGGGTAGATTATATATTACTCATCAAGTCTAAAAATATTTTATCGACATTGCATAGAGTATTTTGAGGGCTTCAGGTGGTAAACTTTTAGTATTTCTTACATATATACTCTGAAGCGGGTAGTCTGATTTTTAATGGTTATAAGTAGCGATTCAAAGTATTTCAGAGTTGAGTTGCACAAGCAGTGTTTGAAATCTGTAAGTTGCTCGAAGATGTTCGATCTACTATTAATATTTTCGTTTAGTTTTCTAGAAGTACTTATGACTGTATATGCTCGACGATAATATTTTAATATATGAGTTCGAATGAGTTCGAACATCTAGATTCTCGAATGTTTAAATAGTTAAAGTAGTATTTCAGGCGACAGACTTAAATAATTTTTATGGTTTTTAAAAAAGTGGTTTATTAGCGATGCAATCCTTTCACCTCTTGGTTCTTCTACACTACTTCAGTGTTGACATCTTGTAATTTCTGTAATATATGCATTATAAAAACATACAATATTATTTTATTTAAAATTGATACAATAATTGGGTTTTTTTAATATTTCAGGTTGCTCGTTTGGGTGAAAATCCTTATATGGAGGTCTTATTGGATAAGTTAAATTCATGGAGAACAATTGATAATCATGTTGACAATATAAACGATGATCTGCAGCAAAATAATCATAACTGCAATTAACAACCAAAGAGGCAAAAGAGGGAATTTTGAATAAATGTAGATTCAACCTCTTTTGCTGTTAAAAATGAGACAAATTTTAAAAATATTTTCCAAAAACTTAAAATATTTTAATTATACTTAATAATATGGGAATATAATTTTCAATATTTTTGGTAGAAAGAATATGCAATGCGCTAACACATTAACACTTAAACTTTGCACTTAGTTCAACCGGTGTGGACAGTTAAATTTACACTTTAAAAAGCCAAGCTTTAGTAAATAATTTTTTAATATCTATGAATTTATTAATATATTATGTTAAAAGGGTTTTTTTTTGTTATATTCAAAAACGATAATGATTAAGAGTTATGTGTCAATTCGAAAATCGGATTCGGACTGAATTGTAATCAACTTTGATATATGTGTATTAAATATTATTGTATTGAGTATCTTTTGAAATGTGGATTTATTTAATAAATTTCTTATAAGCTCATATTTAAATGTACTTAAAATATTTGAAATTAAATTTAAATCATTTTTTTATAATATTTATTTAAATATTAAATTATAATTAATAGCCAATTTTGAAAAAACGGCATATATTATATTGTTCACTTAGAACCTTCTAAAAATAAAATGTAAACTATAAATAAAACATTCGATAAATATTAACGTTAAATACATATTGTTCCTTTAATGCACATTTTAATCATAATAAATAAAAAATGTTTTTATAATTAATTTATGTATAATTTATACGATAAAACTAAACCTTCTATTATATTTAAACTTCTTTGATATTAAAATGTTAAATCTCGTACTTCTTGGGAATGTATTTACTTTGTATAGAATGTTTCGAAATTTGAAACGTTTGTCATTTAATTAATTAAATTTCGATGTATTTAAAAATTGTTATTCTTATT